CTCCCCCAACCCCCCCCCCCCCATGAGCCCGAGTGATCCCAAAGCGCAAGTCCGATCGCGGCCCGGCCCGAAACCCACGAGCCTGAAATATGGATGGCTGAACCTCTGGCACCTAAGGTTTAGGGTTTAGGTGCTAGTCATTCCTTTGTAGGCGATCATCACATCAACCCTTCCCGGAAGAGCCCCGTCACTGGCCTCAGGGGTTACTGGCAAGCTGCTGTCGATACTGGCCCAGCCCGGATGGCTCGTCATGCGGAGGAAGCGGTTGTGATGCGCATTGTACAAGGCGATCAATCCTGGGTCATCCAAACAGCGAACTGAACCCACACCCTAAACCCAAATCCCGAACCATCGGGCTCAGGGTTTAAGGCAAAACTGGATCATCCGAATCGGGAACTGAACCTTCCCTTTTGGTACTAAAGGTTGAAGGCAGAAACCCAAACGCCAAGCCAGTAGATTGTCACTGACTGAGTTCCCTCGGTGCTGTATGTATGAACCCTAAACCCCCTAATGCCTAAACCCTGCGAGCGCTAGAGGCTGCTCGCACGGTCGCGTAGGAAATATAGCTCAAGCACGATGTGACCGAACGTATCGGCGGCTTGTTGTCAAAACTGCGTAGACACATGACGGTGCGTCGGAGCAGCCAGGTTTAACCTGCGTGCCCCCGGGTCCCTGGAAGCTTGGCGTCTCGGCCTGACTTAATCCTGAGCTTAAGGGTTCCAAACCAGCTTGTTTGCGTCGCCTTGCGGACATCATCTCAGGATCTTCAACGATCCTCCAGGTATGCTCCATGCGATAAAAGAGCTCTAGCTCTCGACTACCGCTTTTTTGTAAGAGCATTCGCCAGTTGAGCTTCCGAGTGGACCGATCGCAAGATGAGCCATGATTGTTCTGAGCCTTGAGCGAGAGGAGCTCGATATTCGTGCGCTTCTCTGCCCGCTTGATTACAAGGCCCTCTGTGACCAATTTGCCGTAGACATTCCGAGAATCCGCAATCAAACAGCCCTGCACCTTAGCTACTGCTACATCTGGGTGTCGCACACGAGGTCGCCCGTAACAAAGTTCACTGCACTGGTATCTAGAGCGAAATAACAGGCATGCTCGCCGTTGATGGCAGTGGCAGCCTGCGCTTCTGCTGCCCCCGGCGATCGGCAAAATCTATCATAAAGGCCATGCAACTGGGGAGATGTGGCGTAAGTCACCTTTGAGCATATACTGGCGGGACTATGCCTGTCAGGATACCCTGAGTAGACCCTCGGTCCTTGCGGTTCTGGCTGGCCGCGTCTACCCATCCGTACAGACCAAGAGGCTCGGACTACTGGAACTTGTGGATCATCATTTGGTGATCCTTTCTCGCCTCAGCACTGTAGGCCAGGACATTGGACCGTATGATGGTCAGGACCGTACTATCCAAAAACTTCGGACAGAAGCACACTCACCTCTGCTGAGAGGCGAGGAGCCACCTGCTGCGCATGCCAGGACAGCCCTCCTAGGAGAGCTCGTAGCTGAGTCTTTTCGAGATCTGTAGTAGCCGCCTGGGTATTCTTACGCCTCGAGGAAGCTAGCGGGATCTCTTTTTAATGCCCTCTAAGCCTGCCTCGGTTCGAGCAACCTGGACACCTCACTGCACGAACTTGTCCGTCTCCCAGTCTCCCCACTGGAACATCTTCCTTATTTTCTCGAGTGTGGCCTGCCGCTCTTTGTCCTGAAGACATCAATACGCCCTGACTTCCTGCCCGTTGGCCCGGAGTCCCAAGTCGATCGTGAAGATGCACTGAGCCTCCCACTGTCCGCGAAGCCGAACACTGGCTTGTTGGTCAAGTCCACCGCCTGGACCCCGGAGCTCCCTTTCTTCGCGTTCACCTTCATCACGGCTTCAGTTGCTTGCACTGAGCCCAGTGTACGTGTAGCCCCGCCATCGATCACGCCCCAGCCGTTGCTCATGGCCTCGATCCGTGGTGGGACTCGTTGTCATCTGGGCCTCCGCGCTGCTGGTCATGGCCTGCTCCACATAGCACACGAAAGGTGCTAAGTCCGTCTCCGCTATCTTGGCCTTCTCATTGGTGCAGTTGGCGGCTCGATGGCCGGTGTTTCCGCAGCGTGAGTCATCACGTTGGGCCGAAATCGTTGAGCTTGCTCTTCCCGAACTCTTGGCCGGGGCCCCGGAAATATTTCCGTGACATCCGAACCTGATGCTGCTTGTTGCAGTTGCGGGCGCCTATCAACAGGTCCGCCGTGCACCATGGATTGCCGCCCACGCCTGCTGTGCCTCGCTCTCGGCCTCGGCTATCAGCGAGGCTTCGGCTATCAAAGCCTGTCCTTCATCATCCAGATCTTCATCCACCGTCGCGTTCTGGCGGTCGCCCGCCTCGTAGGCCTCTTCGGCATCATCTTCCCGGGAACATCTCCAAGGGAGCCCGATGCCCGGTGGTTCTGATCTCGTCGACGAAGATCGGTCTCTGCCCGGGCTCCCGGATTGCCACCATGAGGCTTCTTGGTATCTGACCTCCGGATCCGCTCCAGCCTCCATTCCACTCCGTGCGCGAGTCGTGGTTGTGGCCGGCTCCATCCTCGGTCGTCGTCGCCTCTGTCGCATCCTCGTGCTCTTCGGCGGTTGTGGTAGTCTCCGACGCCCAGCTGGATCTCCAGCTCGTGGTGTAGGTCCGGTGGCCATTTCCTCCTCGAACAACCTTACTTTCATGCCGTGGTTTGATTCGTCCCAGCGCCTGTTGGGCACGCATGTAGATCTCGCTCTTCCATTTCACGTACTCGTTCATGGATTCCCCGCTGCGGCGGCGGGAGTTGCGAAAGTACATGTTGAGGTACTCGGAGAGCTCGGTCATCTGCGGCTTGCCAAGACACTCGCGAAGGTGTCGCATCAGAGCCTCAACTCCTCCCTGATACGACACCCATCCTGGTGGCTTCCCCATCACGGCACCCCGCAGCTCGGGTGCCGCCTTGTAACATGCGAGCGCCAGCGTAGGAAATATTGCTCAAGCACGATGTGACATGGCTTGGCTCAACGAAGCTAATCTCACCCTGGTGCGCCTCTTTTGGACGCCTTGTTGTCAAAGCTGCGTAGACACATGACGGTGCGTCGGAGCAGCCAGCTTGAACCTGCAAACCCTAAACAGTATGGTCCAGCCTTTCAATATATCGACCGGGCGCTAGGTGCCAGGTAGCTTAGGGTCGCAGAACCGTTCTAGAGCGTTTAGAGCTCCGAATAATTAAGACACAAAAAACAAGATCCGCAAGCACGGATTCTGTCATAGAACCAATAAGACCAATACGGATAATGACAAAACTGCCAAAAGGCCTGCCTATTTACAGGTTCCTGAAATTAAGCCCCCAAGCAGTAGCCTAGACTCTAAACCTGAACCAAGCTGCCGTGCTCAAAAGGCACCACTTGGAATCTCTCCTGGGTAGTAGTTCAAGGAGCTCCAGAAGCACTTAGGGTTTATGAGGGTTTAGGGCATGGGAACAAGCAGGAGATTAGCAAGTTGCTGCCAACGCTGCCTAGAAAACCCTACGTAAACCCCTAAAGTCGAATCATAAGCCTTGGAGCCTTTCAAGCCTCAACGAGAAGCAGGACCCTAAACCTTATACGCACTGATACCACTCCGAGAAAGTAAAGGAGAAGCAACTCAAGAGAGCCCATCCTTCAAACTCCTGCTGCGGCTTAGAGCCAACAGATTGAGATAATGCCCTCCTAATACTCTACGGTAGGGTCCTTTTTTGGGGTTTCTTTTGATAAGGGTTTAACATGGGCAGTTCTTTGTTTCCTGGCCCCTTTTTAGGTCCCCAAAATACTACGGTTCCCTGTTACAGAATACTTTTGTACCCTTAAAGGGACCCTAAGAAGTGGGAGGGAAGACTTACCCCAAAATGCGTACGGCACCGTGGCAATGTGGCAGCAGCTCTAACTCCGGACAAAAGCTCCAAAGCAGTTTACAACGACGGAATTTCCAGGAGCCGAGCTGTGTGGCCCTGCTGGGATTTTCATGACGTTTCGGGAGCAAATCAGTGGATTCACAATGAACTCGATATCGGCCTCTGTCCGAGCGGGACCGTGGGAAGAATGGAAGAATGCAACTGCGATTGAAAATCACAATGGCAGTAAACGTGGGGGACAAACGTACAACACCTTCATACATCCCATAGCCGCAGAAAATGCTCAACAATCCACGATGTACGCCACAAGCATGAGGTGAACACCTCATTTCTTGAAACCCAAGCCTAATCCCCCTAAAGCGAAGTGCCGGCCGGTTTCCCAAGTCCAGTCGTCGGGTAAATCATCCATGGATCGCGGTGCAGAGCTTCTCACACCACCTGGGGATTCTTGAGTCTATGGGGGGCTTGGGGGTTTGAGTGTTCTGGGTTTTGGTTGCTTTGTTTTTTGTTTTGCTTGTCTGTGCTTTGTCTTTTTGTTTGGTTGCTTCTGGAATGTGAAGATGGGGGTTGAAGGTCTTAGGTGGTTTTCTGGTTAACGAGTTTGAATCCGAAACGCAATGGCAATGCT